TCTGTCTCTCTCCCACTTTGTCTCTCTCCCTCTGTCTCTCTCCCACTCTGTCTCTCTCTCTCTCCCTCTGTCTCTCACCCTGTCTCCCTCTTTCTCTCTCTCTCTCTGCCGATCAGCTGATTATTTGCTTTTGATACAAACACCATGCAAACTTTGGATGATACCCCCACATATCCATCTATTGTCTTTTTATTCTTGTCTTTGAAGTCGGGAACAAATTGGTTGAGTTTAGATTAACTCCATCTGACTCCAGTGTGTCGGTCGCTTTGTTGAAACGGCCTTAAGCTGCAAAAAACCTACCCGAGGGATTCAACCCCTTTGCAACACAACGGAGCATTCCGCCCACACTGTAACACTTTACCTAATTATCTGTGAACAAGTCAAATCATCTGAGAGCGTAGAGATAGATATGGATGCTATTTAGGTTTTTTTTTGCTGGATGAAATAAAAAACTACAAAATGTTGATTTAACGTGTAAAAATGACAAATGTATGACTAACTGACTAACTTCACTAGTCGTAACTTACCTTGTGAATTAAATGCTGTTCTGCAGCTGTCTCTCATGTGAAATATATACGTCGTACTTAACTGCTGAGTGAGGGAGACTTTTATAATTATCCCAACATGCTCTCTGCACATGCTTTGAATTACACAGGTGACATCTCACTTATCAATGAGATGAGAGAGACAAGAGAAGACAGACTTTATTGTCATCCATCTATATAAAGTGCAGTACAGCAGATAGAGGAACAAATTGTGTTTCGCCGGTTCGAGTGCAAACGTTTCTGCTGTGTCGGCTGTTTTCACAGAACATCCCCTGATGTGACTCCGCTTGATGTCTTCTTTTGTTCCAATATTATTTTACGGTGTACATTATGATTCTGCATTGGGCCTCGAACAACTTATAAGGATTTAATGTAGTTATTGTTAAATGTCTGATTTAATTTTACACAATTAAGACAGAAGTGCTAATAAACCATATATTACTTTTTTTTACTGTTGATGTGCGGAGCAGCCATCTTGGATTTTGAGGTCAGGGGTTGGTGGTTATTCAAAAAAGTTTAGCAACCGTCTCATGAAAACTACACGCTTGGTAGAATCTCGAGATTACTCCAAACTTTAGGAAGTGCACTTGCGTTACGCCAACATCAGGATCTTTAAAGACAGAAAGGACAGGTCTTGCAGCTCTAGTGGCATGTATGTAGTTCTGTAACACGTTTTTTTGAATATTAAATAAAACATTTAGTGTGAATTGTAGATATTGCAAAATCTAATTTAAATCTCAGCTGTTTGTTTCATGAAATATGTCTTTACCACCTACTTTTAAAAAACTCCTCAAAAGTAAATAATTTTGCTTCTTTTAGACTGAATTGTATTGAGGCATAGTTTTTAGACAATTGTTTTGTGGTAAGACGAAGTAATTTGGATTTATTTGGTGTAGTTTAGAAGCTTGAGTCGATACAAATCTAAAAAAAGAAAAAAGGTTTAATTTCAAAACTGTAAAGAATCAAGAATTCTATGGTTTATGACACGGAACCTTCTGCAACTTGGCACTGATATCAAAGCATTTTCAATTATACCCAGCCTCACACTAGTATCAGTATTCTGCGATAAATCTTCTTTAGTGTGTATTTTAAACTAAACAAATCTGTAATTTAAAATCTGAGATATTTTTCAACAGTTAGACAATAAACATACATATTTAGATATTCCAAATAGTGTTAGATGAAGTCCAATGCACTGGCCTTCCTCCCAGTAAAGAAAAAGTGCTATTAAAGCCGCTGTACCAGAGGATATTGAAATTGAAGAATCTGTAATGAAAGCAAATCCATATTAAAGGTGTGTTTGGCAGCTGAAGGGCACAGATTTCGGTTTGAGATATCGGAGAGGCTCGAAGAGAAGATAAGAGGCATTAGGATTTAGCTTAGCCAAAGGGTAGCCCTCGACCCACTCCACCCAAACACAGGGTCACACACCCACACACACATTGTCCCCGTGTTTACAGTGTGGGGGGGATCCAGCTTGTGAGGGGGGGGGGGTATCTGTGTTCGGCCGCCACATTCCTGCTCAGATCAGTGCAGTCAGCCACGACGCAAACCCAGCGATGCCTCGCAGCGCAAACCTTTCCTCAGGCACGCACACGCACATTCTCTGAATGATGCAGAGTCAAGGTGACATCAGAGAGTTCACGAGGAGGGAAGAAGAAGAAACTCAAAACTAATTTCAGAGGCGAAGGAGAGATATAATGCCTGCAGCTATGAGGTCCACACAGGAAGGCCTCGTTCAACTTCTCTTTGAAGTGCATGCTCATTGTAAGAGTGTGTGTGTGTGTGTCTTTGAGGTTTGCTGTATGTTTCTGCCTCTCTCATTTTAACATGAATACACTCCCCTCCATAGACCTCCATGCACATCAAAGCCATGTCTTGGCCTTCAAAGGCTGAACTTAGAATACATCTCTCTCCTCTGCCTCGCCAGAACTTAGTGTAAGCACTGCAGGGAACGGGGTTGACACACACTCTCAAACCGATACAGACCGCATATAACTATCACACACACACGAACCGCCATGTGCTATTCGACAAGACTAACATTACTAACTTTCTTTAAGATTGTTGTTTTTGCCCTTTATTCAGTAGCGAGATAGAACAGATAGACTGGAAAGGGGGATGAGAACGGGGAAGACATGCAGCGAAGGGCCACAGGTCGGATTTGAACCCCGGGCCGCTGCGGTAAGGACTCTACTAGTTGAGCTACGTGGGCGATTCAATAGCGGGATGATAAATGATAATGTTGTATTATCAACAATCCTTACATCATCCACACAACACTACACGAGAATACACTACACCAGATACTCTCTTTTATATTGTGCTTTTCTATTGTATTGCACTACCAGTTGTTGAACTCCTGCACCGTATGAATAGTCTGAATGTTTGCTTCACTCCCACTGATAGTTGCATTATTCATTCTTTTTCTTTCCTCCATGCACTGTACTGTATACAGATGGATGACCATAACGTCTCTCCTATCGTAACGTATACCAGGCTTTGTATGAAGTCTGTTCTAAACAGGGATGCTTCAACTTTAAGTTTACTAATCGTGTAATAAACACACAGTAATCATGTCATAGAAACATGTTTGTCCCTAAATTGAAACCTGCACAAACCCATGTCAGGATCAGGAGCATCCAGGCCTGTAAGTTAACCAACAGCCACAACAGTGTGCCTCGTCATTTGCAGTTTAAAAAGGATTTGAAGGTTAACGCCTGTCCACCGTTACAGTACTTACAAGCTGTACTCTTCCTGTAAAAGTATCAAAACTGTAACTGTGGACAGCTTTTCTCAGTTTTGCATCCATACTCAGATGCTTGGACACCAAAAGTTACATTTCTTAGCGTTTGTAAATGTGCGTTGCTTATTATTTAACATTACTGATGAGTCTGAGTAAAGCATGAGCATCTTGTGAACCTACAGCTGCGTGACACAGATTCATGAGCAGCATTTCTTTTCTAACACACCATAGACTCGCATTCTTCTTTTGAACTCCTTTAATGTGCCGCGTTGCTACTGAATGGCGATCGTGCCGCTCTTGTCAGGCTCCGTGGTTGTTAGGATCCATTTCCTCCCGGTTCTTTGATTTTGATTCAGGCCGTGCAGTTGTGAGCATGTTTTGTGGCACCCATCAGCTGTTAGCACCTCCGCAGCTCCACAGTTATCACCTGGAAACAGGTCTGAGCACTGTCTGCCCGGTCGTGTGAGTGCTCCGGAGTCTCTAACAGGGACGCGTGAAATGTGTCACTTCCTTTCCGGTGCTCCGTCTGTCCGTCCATCAGAGTATCTCTATCTGTTTTTAGCGCCCTGCTGTAGTAACACTGAACTCCACAGACCAGAATGACCTCATCCTCATAACCCATCAGCCTTTTCTGTTTGTGCACTAATTCAGGGTGTTTACAGGTTTGCTAATAGTACAAATACAAGCAAGCTATTTGGGTGGAATTAAGGTTGAAAGAGTAACAGACGCACAATACTCAGTCTTATTCATTACTGTTGCATGTACACGTCTTCTTTTTTTTATTGTTATTGTGAAGCAAAGACAGACAAGTTAACGGACACAAGCAACAACAACAATTAACAAAACATGTTCCAGAAACAAACAACAACACAGAAAAACAAACAAGCCCAAAATGAAGCCTGTGGAGCTTTCAAAAGCACGTTATAGTTACATTATATAAATTATTAACTCTTTCTCTCTCTGCTGACCAACAACAACCCTTAAACAATGTTTACACGGACTATTCCTGATTACAATATATCTTTATAAAATATAATATCTAATTTATTTATAAAATAACTTATTCAAAAACCAATAGCATGTTTAAGAAACCTTTAAAATGTATTGATATTTCAGGAATTTCCCACAGCACCTATTAATAATAAACTTTTTCCCCAAATACAATAAGATTACTAAGATATGACTTTGTTTCTGTGTTCAACCAGTACTACAAAAAGTGATTGACCGCTTCATTTATCTGCTTTCTATTTTGCCGCTTTTTTTATTATGTTCATAAGCTGCACGGTTCACTGGGGGACATACATGTAAAACAATGGAGGACCAGCACCGTAGTCAACGGTGTCGGACAATCAAAGTAAATCTATTATCATACATTTTAAAAGCATAATACATTTATTAGCCTCATTAATATACGTTTTTAAATATGCCGCTGTGAATATAAATGCTTTCGTCAAAGTGTTTCCTTGACCTGGTCATTCTCGTGTGCATGCAAACATCTGTCACGTTTATTTATTTTTTTTATTTTTAAAGAAAATCTTCTTCCCTGTTGGTATTTATTTGACAGCAGTTTGTGTTTCTGCTTTGTCATTTCTGAAACAGACCTCTTCATTTCTCTGTCTTTCTGGAATGTCTTTCTCTCTCTCACACATACCTGCTTGCTGTTGCTATATTTACCGACACAAGCACACACACACACATACGCAGACTCACACACAGATTTAAGGCCTCATTATGCAGGAATGTGCAGTATTTCTTTAGATTGTGTGTGAGTGTGGATGCTGAGATGCTGCACTGTAGCAAAGTAAAGATAGCGCTCTTTAGAACCTCCCTGACAATTTCCTCTGGCTAATGACACTCAAGTCTTATCAACACTGCTGCCTCTGCCCTTCCTCACACATTCGGCCTGCAACCATACACACACACACACACACACACCACGGCCTTATCTTGATTCAAACAGCAGCAACATCTGCCATATTTTGGCTGTGGCTCCTCTTCCAGCTACTGGACACTCCACACCTTACTGCTAACCCCCCCTCTTGTGTAAAGGTGTATGTTTAGCGTGGGAGAATTAGAGGTTTGAGTGCAGGATATGGCAGCTCATAAGGACTAAGTGCAGGATATAACAGCCAGTGTGTGTTTAGGAGAGGGAGAGGAATGGAAAACTGTTAAAAAGAAAAACACACACACACACACAAATGTGTGCAGTTTGTCACCTGAGTGATTAATGTTAATAGGATGGCTCTCACTGCCCGATAATGTCTGCGTGTCTATATGTGCGGCTGAGAAAGATAAAACACTGGTTTGAGGATGTTAAGGGGAAACCAACTGAGTGTTTTTTTTTTGTTTGTGGTTTGTTTGTGGTTTTAGTCCAAGTGATGCGGTTCAACAGGGAGCGAGCTGCACCAGATGTGAGCCAAGAAGAGCATTCACTCAACCACAGTGTCACGAGTCTGCCGAGGGAGACCGGCTTCAGGTACACCGATTTCACTCAGTCACCCACACAAAACGAAGAGAAAAATAAACTAAGAAATATGACATGAAAGCATCAAAGCTAAAGTCAGTTTTCCCCAACTTCTCCAGCTTGTCTGTGGCTTCAAACGCATTTCTTTCCTCCTGAAGATGTATATATTTTTAAAGAACTGCTTAATGATCTCTGAATTGATTTCCTAAAACAGGTGGGGACTGTAGTTTTTTTGCAAACCACTCATTCAGGAGTAAACTGTATTTGTTGTGGACTATACTTTTAACCAGAGAATTGCTGTGCTAGTCAGTATTTACAACCGCAAGTTGGCGTGTCAGCGATTAACTCCAAATAAAGTTCCCATTCAGTTCCCTAATTCATGGTAATAAAGAAAGGTGTCATACACTGCAACAGGGTGGTTCATTCATGTGCTTTAACAGTTTCTGGAGATCAATTTATATATAAGGCTTTGGACAAGACATGTTTGGTTTTAGAAAAATGTCGTTGGTGTTACAGATTCCACGTGTGATAAAGGGCTCCTGTGTTATTATTTGTGTCAACAGAGAGGGCTCCAATCTGCAGGAGGTGGTGGAGAAACAGGCCGACCTGATAGAGTACCTGAAGCAGCACAACACCTTACTGAGCAAGAGGCTGCTCAACCTCACCGCTCAGCACTGACCACAGTCCGGCCTCCTCTTCCTCCTCCTCCTCCTCGTGAGCCAGAGCCCGATCACTTCGACACTCCGCTCTCTCGACACAAAGGAGAGGGGGATCTGTGGGTTTGAAAGAGATGACGAGAAGCTAGAAGGAAAAACTACTGGATAAAAGACTAAAAGCAAGGAAATCCCTGTGCACACAAGGCACCTGTGCGCACAGACATGAGATGGGGGGGGGCTTCTCCACGAGGCACCTGAGACGGACAGATAACGCAGGAGGAGGTGAGCTGTAAGTGGAGGGCAGTTAGAGAGGCAAAGTGGGAGGAGGAGCAGAGCAGTCATGGGTCACAGATCAGAGGTGAGGGTTTTTTTTTATCACTGTGTAACAACCTCCGGTGACCCGCGTACGACGCCGCCGCTTGAGAGAGAAACAGAAGAGGCGAAATTGTTTTTAGAGCTCATCCGCACTGAGGAGGAGCTGAAGGAGTCGGAGATGTGTTCACTCATCACGGTCGAACAAAAGAAACAGATCGTGCGCCGCTGTAAATGTCCGTAAGTGGTATTTTATCTGTCCGAATGTGTAAATGCTTCGTTTGGTAGCAGTTTTTTTTTCTATCTGTTTAAATCATTGAGTTTGTGTATTTGTGATCTGATTCCGATAAATATGTAATAAACTTCATTTGTGTTTAAGCCTTTTCAGGAGTGACAGTTGACACAGTATACTTCAGTGAAACACAAAGTAAGTGTGTGGTTTTTTTTTTTTGTATATAGTATAGAAAAAGCCCCAAACAATTGAGACACTGCAGTGTCCCACCTCACCTTTTCTGTGTTAAGTTTCAACAGTCACGGGAATCTACGTCAACGAAATATTGGGGTCGTCGTTTGAGCCCTTGGTGTTTGCGCCCCATTGTGATTTCTCTACGCTCTGGCGTCCGTTAACTCCACAGGGAGCGCTGCATTTACGACTCCTTTACCACGTGGCTTCTGCTGAGAGCCCAGTTATCTGGACTACAGCAGGTATCGGTAGCCACGTTTGATTTTAGGCTTACAGGTCACACATTTACAGAGAGTTCTTGTACTCTGTCCTAAGAGTAGCCCACATTTAAAATGGAGTCTGGCTTAAAAAACCTGTATTTCACAATTACCATCAATCCTCAAAACTGCTTCATTCCATTCCTCTTGTTGTTTTAACACACAAACACATGAAGGAAAAACAAAACACTACATTGATACTTTTTTTGGTTTTTATTAAAAAGGTTTTAAATGTAACTCAAACATTTGAAGTGCGTACATGCATTATAGACACTTTGTAGGAATACTATGTGGATGCTGTTCATCGTAGCTGCATTCACGAGGATGATTCCAGCTCTTTGGTCCGTAGCTTTTAAGTTGAACGTCGAATATGCTTCATGATGTTGTTGCTCCTTTTCACTCGTTCTCGTTCAGCACAAAAGTATTGTCGACACAGAAGGAAGGTGCTTGCAACTGGGATCCGTTTTCCACCAGGATGCCAAATCATAGCATGGTTTTATATTTTATTTCATTGGGATTTCAGACAGTTCCTTGTAGCTCTTTTGCAGCTACATACTTGATCGTCTTTAGATGACATGTTCATGGTGTCTCTTCCACTTTACAATCCATGTGTTGGTACTGGGACCCATCCATGGTGTTTGGGCCGTACAACTGCAGATGCTTCACATTCATATGTCTCTCCTTAGGTCACCTTCATTCTTGTGCTTCGACCTGTGATGGAGAAGAAGAAAAACAGAATTTAGTGTCCAGCTAAAAATAATTTAGGGGTATGACAAAAAAAAACAAGCTTTAAGTAGCTGTGCAGGAGCCAAAAAAATTAAAGCTGAAACTCCCCCTTCTCTTTAAACAGTCCGCATGGGACTAAAGCCTTCCTCTTCATCGTTAGTGAGATTTATGCCTTTCTCCCCCCCCCCCTGCACGCCTGTTCTATGTGAATACACACCTCTGCCACTAATCACACACACCTTCTTAACTTGCCACCTGCCGGCTCTGTAACCTTGTTTTGTTCCATCTATCACACAGAAACACGTATGAGTGCACATGTCTCACCTTAGGGGAAGGGTACTCTGGAGTGGAGAGGCAGGCAGCGTCTGTGTGAGCAATGGTGCCTGTTGTATCTCCTCCGTAGCTTCAGGAAATCTGGAAGAAAAAGATTTTATTTTAATATGCAGAATAAAGCTGTTTGTTTTATAGCATTTGTAGCATGCAATATTTATATTTGAATGTGTGTGACTGCTTATCAAATGTCATTTTAGATGTAGGAGTCCTTTAAAAGCTAGATGTATGTCTGCAGTTGGACCCCTGCTTATCACCGGACAGGCCTAATTATTCCCAAGTGGAGGAGAGTAACTCAACCTGAGCTTTTTAGCACCAAAGGCGATAAAACAACACTTCCTACTGTCACCATTTTCTAAGTAAGTAACATTTTGGAACTAACAAAAGCCTAAGTATGTACCAAGTTTTGCTCTGTTGACCAAAGATAAGCCCCCCTTTCATAGGTTTTATTGTTTGGACCCATTTACCATCTCGAGGCGACCCCCCCCCCCCCCCCCCTTCTAATAAACTGGGACGCACAGACCTAACACATGATTATTTTTAAACGTCCCTAATAAATCCACTTTGACTCCTGCGGTTCACAGACTGCCAGCCAAACCCAGGAAGAGATAAACTTCCAGATGACTTTATGACTCCCCCCCCTCCTCTCTCTTTCTCTCTCCCCCCTCTGAAAGAAACTGCACCCCACGCCTGAAGGTAGGCTTCTTTACACTTGGCACTGCTCCTCCATGTCATGTTAATACAGCTCGGGTATTTGCATGGCGTTTTAACACCGTGATTAACAAAAGCGCGCCGGAGTGCCTTCCAGCCGGGGGACAAAGGGACTCACGAGGGTCGCCGCTGTGCGATCCCCGGCGGCGCTCCGCTCTCCGTCCCTCCCTCTTCCTCCCTTCATCCTCTCCTCACCACCATCACATGAACCTAATCACGACCTCGAGCCCCAAAGCCCCTCTGTTTAACACGCGCTAACGCAGATAACCGCCGCTAACCAGCTGGGATTTTGTGCAGAAAGCGCACCTGTTGCATCCACATCAGGCAGGAGCAGCATGAGCTCTGCTTTCCCTTTTATCAAAAATAACTTATATAGTGGGCGTGTAAAAAGAAAATAATGAAGCTAAAATTCCCAAATTTAAAAACCCAAACACTACATTGGGCTTAATTCATATTTCGGTTAAAGTTCTATCATTACTGCAGCCAAAAAGCGAAGATGCTATTAGATATTACTTGTTATTAAAATAAGTTTGTGGGCAATATATAATATGTTTAAGCTATAGTTACATATTTGTACCCAGCAATAATTAGGCTAGTTAACGTTAATTTAGCTTGCAAGAAGCAAAAGTACTGTTCCACTGGTTTGTACATTACGCAGTGATTTAACGGGACAATGGTTGTGCTGGCCTGTTTTAACGGACACCTGCTGGACCAACCTGAACACCTGGACGGGTTGAGTTTTGGGACGCTTACCTGGCCTGACGGAGGAGACTGAAGCGACAACGGCGACGAGCAGCAGCAGCAGGTAGAGCAGGTTGAAGATCCTCATGGCTGGGCAGCAGTTCTGAAGAGGTTAGTTGAGGGTAATTTACCCAAAAGTCTGGAGAGTCTTGATGACCCTGAGCAGGACTGGTGATGCTCAGCGTGGTTTTCTTTCTCCTGCTCTGTTTCAGTCCGGATGGCACACCACGGAAGGATCCGGTACCCGGAAAAAAAGCTCTTCTCTTCAGGATGATAAGTAGGTCCCCGAGGAATGCGTGCGTTCAAAGTGGTTGCGTGTCCAGTGAGAGTGTGATTGTCTCTATGTCTGAGAGCAAAGTGACAAAGGTGCTTCTCCCCCCTCCTCCTTTATACAGCCTTTTTAGAGGGAGGTGGAGCATTGGGGAGGGGGTGTAGCTCCCTCAGCCGCCCCCACCTCAACCCCTGACACACACACACACACACACACACAGACTTCTACATTGCACATGTTGACCCCACATGTAGAGGGTAATTCGAATGACAGGAAGCCCCCTCCTTACCCTCCAACTGCCCCTTGAACACAGGCTCTCCAGCGTGCAAGTTGTGTATGCATGAATGTGTGTGTGTGTGTGTGTGTGTGTGTGTGTGTGTGTGTGTGTGCGTGCAACTATGAGTGTTTGGAATATTTAGATAGATAGATAGATAGATACTTTATTCGTCCCGCAAGGGGAAATTTGTTGTTTAAAGAAGCAGGCGATGTTTGTTTATCACTTATAAACATCAGGGCAGTGATCTAAGAAGTTGAAAGTATAGCAGGTTCTTCAAGGCCGAGAGTAGAGCCAGATCCCGCCTTCCTCAGTTGTCCCCTACCCCCGCACTGAGGAGGACACACACATCTGGGGCTTTTGGGTGGTGGAGAGGGGTGTTTGCATCCAGGATTTCGGGGGCCGGGTGTCCTGATTGAATGAAATGCAGTGATGCATTAGACTAACGACACACAAAGGAGTCCTTACTGTCTGCCAGGGTTGCCATCTACTGTCTGTCTCTGTCTGTCTGTCTGTCTGTCTGTCTGCAGGAGTGTCTATGTTGGGAGGGTGTGCTTGTAGGCTGATAAAAGTTTAATTTTTTTATTTTTCTAAAAAGCCAGATTTCTGTTTTGTAGGGGTTTCTTCTGTAAGAAACTAAATCCATCTGGCTAATGTTTTGTCACTGACCGAAATGTGTCTGTAGCACTGAGTATCAAAAAGTGTAAAATGCTGAAAGGGCATCGGATGCTTGATGATTAGGCTTAGGGCATATCAGCTTTTTATTTGCTATCGGCCAAAATGTGTTTGAAACAGTCCAAATTTTCAGAAAAAATTGTATTGAAAGATAAGCTGGCATCAAATGACTTTGTTTACTTATTCTCTGAATGTATAGTCCCTTATTAGAATAAAAATTGAACAAATTAAAATATTTTGTTGAAGCAAAGTTGATGCATAGCTGCTTGTGTTTAGACAACTTAATTCATCTGAGCAAATCTCTTGTGTTTAAATACAAAACAAAGTGTAGTAACCTTGTTTGAATTTCTTCAGGTATCAAAAAATGTTTTGGTACAAAAGCTCTGCACTAGCATGGAAATATCCCAATAATACGCAGCCCAACATCTCATGCAGGCTGTCAGCTGGTGGTATACCAGGGGATTTCCCTGCAGGTAAACCAGGTCACTTGGCATTAGCTCTGCAGTGACTTTTGCAAAGTGTGGGGACTCATTAGCGTGTCTGCTTACGGCCGTCTCTGTGGACTGAGACTTCTCCATTCAGCACCAAGCTAATGAATTAACACATTAAGATGAAATGTCAGCCATTACATGTGAATGAGGATTAGAGAAGCAGCAGGACACTAATGGACCAGGGGCTCAACATAGTCACGGAGACTTTGAACAAGCATCTGGACCCTCAGCGCTCTTCAGCCCTCACAAATATAAAAAAAAGAGGACAAAAAGAGTCTGAGACAGAGTTTGTGTTTTTCGTTTAGTGGTGTGTGTGTGTGTGTGTCTCATTATGTCTTTTGACATTTTGCCTTTATTGCTTTATGATGTTTGCAAAAATGTTGCTTGAAATGACAGGGATTCCTCATGGATTTGGCTAACAAACAAACACACACACACAGACTCACTAGCGTACACACACATTCATCCTGCTGCAAACACTCAGCCGAGGTATGTAGTTCGTTTCTGTGGCGAGCTGTGCTTTTCATCGGCTGCCATTGTCTTTCAAAAAACTTTTATTTTCCCTATTTGAATATGGTAATTTCGTTTCAATTGTCATTCAGAGCCACCTGGTATCCACTGTATCCAACTGCTGCTAAACTCAGTTTCTCTCAGCTTCTTACTATCTGCCCTTCAAAACAGAAACAAGTCAATCGTACCGAATTCTCCCCACCAGGTTTTCTGTGTGACTGAGTAGAGCGTGTTGTAATATTTGCTCTTCCTGGGGATTATACGTCTTTACAGGGATTACCCAGCCTGCTCAAACACTCCCCTAGGAGAGAAGCACACACACACACACACACACACACACACAGAGGGCAACCTCCTATTAAACTGCTTCAGTACCTTGGCAGGGCTGCACTGCACAGATGAACCTCGGGCCCCTGTCAAAGGTTATTCTTTGGTGTGTGATTATAAGCGTCGGGTACTGGACTTCAGTACCGACCAAAATGTTTCCACCAAAATAGTTTACTCAATGACATAATGACATAATGCCAAACGCAATTTTCCAGAATCCAAGGTGACGTCTTCAGATATTTTGTTTTGTTCCATCAACATAGATTCAGGAAGTAATGATGTAAAAGAGAGAAATGCAGCAAATCTGAAATGTGTCCGTAGCACCGAGTATCGAAAAAGCTGAACGTTGCCATTCAAGTTTAATTATTCTTTGATTAGATTGAGCCCCATTGAAATCAATATTTTGCTGATGTTAGACAATTTCTTTAAGCAAAATGTTGACAGTATGAAACATTTGAGAACTTTACATGTTTATATATGTTTATATAATATGGTAAATATGGTAGTTATAAAGTGCTGTCTCTGTATTTGTAAGAGAGCTGATACAATTAACAATTAAAACAATTGTTTCATAATCAATGAATCATTTCAATAATTTGTTAAGCAAAGATGCTGAAAAAGTCACTGGTTCTAGTTTTTTAAAATGTGAATTTGCGCTGTTTTTCTTTGTTTTATATCAGAGTAAATATTGAATACATTTGGAAACGTGTGAAAGTATTTTAACCTATTTTATAAACTTTGTTCTGTGTTATCTATTATCTCATTTATGTTATAAACTGATTTATTGAACGATTAATCGAGACAAAACTCTTCGGATAAATATTTAATTCGAATAAATCATTAATCCTAATTGCTACCACAACTAAGGTATCGTATCAGCATTACTATCACAAAATGTTCCATTATACCTGCAGCCCAAGCATTGATCTGACACTCACAATCAGCATCCCATCCTCCAAGATCTTTCCACTTTAATAGGCAGTTAAACTCGTCATTGGACGAGTGTGTAACTCAGGAACGAGTTGGACAGAGTTAGACTGCAGAGCTTCTGTTATTGCTTCTGTTGCGAGTCTTCCTAGTAGCTGTGATCTTTACGAGGTCAGAGGAAGCTTCGGCCTCTCCTCCCCTCCTCAATTTTCACTTTCTTCTTCCTCTCGCCTCATCTCCTGTCCAGGACACGCAGATAAAGAACTTCCTCTCTGATAAAACCTGTTGAGTGGAACAGAGCCTCATAAAATGACTGTTTCTTTGCCACTGAGACGAACGTTATTGCATTGTACACACACAGGTACGCTTAACATGGACAAACAGTTATATATAGACACAGATAGGTAACCAATTACAGAAAGATAACACCATAAAGTGTCTTAGTCAGGTGTTGCTCCACCACAAGCCCCCTTGACAGAGAACACTATTCCTCTTAAAGTAATTCCCTTATTCGATGATTTAATGATGGTGGTGGAGAGTGCTGTCCAACACCGATGTAGATGTTCACACTCCTTCACGTGGATCCGGAGGAGAGTGTTGGTGGGAAAAAAAGAGTAGCAGAGATGTCACGTGCCGTGATGTCTAAAAAATGTTTGGGGTGTAGTCCTGTGTGTACGTGAGAGCGTTGATTGTGATCTGATGGTTCAGTTCGTTAGAGTGATAGCTGGTCTGTTGTCATGCCGCAAAGGTCGTCAGTGTTAATGAGAGACGCAGCCAGTCAGCGCTTAATTACTCTTCAGGCCCTTTATCTCAGATTGCCCAATACAAACCCCAATGGATGCATATACACATGAACAGTAGTGAACACCCAATACACACACTGACAGCATGGACCATCAGAGCCCATCTCACAAATGAGGCGGGCGTTTTTTTTTTTCTTTCTTTCTTCTCCTCCGACACAAAAAAAAGATAGGATCTCACGACGGTTGATTAACTTCGTCTTTATTCTCGAGCGCCTCCACCCCTCCGTCGGCAGCTAGACGGCTGACTGTGGAGGAGTGACGGAGGGCTCAGGGTTCAAGGGGCAAACTCAACAGGGAGCAGCCTCTAACCCCCCAGGATGTCCCCCCAATAGGGCTTCAGGGGCCAAAAGTCACTTGGTTTGTTAAATCCTAACCCAGACACAGCGGCTTCACAGCTTCTGGACACACAGACCCAGTGTCCGTGCTGTTTTGTTCTCTTTGGCTGCCCATATGGCAATAAGCTGTATTTGTTGGTGTATTTTTGGAACTCACTTTCCAGAGATCCAAACAGTCTCCTGTGTGATGTTACTTAGTTGGCAGTTGTTTTTGAAATGTCGTCATCCATCGTACCAGTTAACTCACAACACACAAGTGTGTTGAAGAGCGAGTGTGTTGCCTTAGCTCAGCCTGCTCCCTTCTGACGGACCTGCTGGGCGATGGAAAAACACAGGGTCTGCCAACTGTGCGCTGCTTGTGATTATTTCCAGTAATGTCGCCACAGACACCCAGTCCGTGGTACTGCAGATGCAAAGCGCTTTCATCAGAGGTCCATAGACTCAGTCACTATTGTGTTACCATTCGCAGCAAAGAAGGCAGGATTTGTATGCATTGCCTGAGCAGTATAATTCACAGGATGGATCTTTGTAAACCACATTTTCTGTGTTCAAACTGGATTCTGCATCTCCCAAAACTACACATTTGAGATGAAATTGTCAACAATTGGACTTTATCTACTGATGTGTTTCCCCTTTTGTATAAGATGTTAATGGTGTGCTCAGAGACTGCATCATTCATGGGGGAACAAGTTTATTGTTGCCTTAGTATATAAAAACTCAACACTATGTGCCATAGTGGCATTCTATAGTAAATAGACAAACAAAAAGACGTTTTGAGTTATTTGTGAGAACTTTACATTGAAAACCCAGCAGTACACCAGTTCAAGGTACAGATCTCGGACTTTTACTCAATGGTTTTTGTCCAGCTTGCTTGGTGATCACTCTCTGCTTTCTTTTAAACTTCTTTGCTTCATAGACACCTTCTTCTGAAAACACAAAAAAACATCAGGTGCAATATTCAGCATTAGAGAAGCTGACACTTGTCTGTGTGTGTCTGACAACAGAGGAGGAGTGTGTACCTGCATGTGCTGCTTCTGGTTGGATGCAGACTGAAGCAAAGCAGAATATCGAGAAGATGACAAAGGCAATGACGATGAAGGTCAGCTCAAAGCCAGAGAACGGCAGTTCCATCTACACAACTATAGCCAACACAAAGCACGCCATTACTTGATGTAACATCTTTACGTTACGATGCATGACACTGGGGGTGGGCGGAATACCGGTGTCATCACTGTCACCGGTGTCACATTTGGACACGACATGGATTTTGTAATCTGGTCTTTACCGTGATAAACTCACACGTGTTTTGGTTTAGCACACACACAATCTGCTTTTAGCATCCACACAGTGAACCACTTGCTTTTCTTTCCGGCGCCCATGTTAGCACTTTAGAGCAGTGGAAGTAGGGAGAAGTAAGGAGTCGCCCCTGATGGCTATTAGAAAATATGCAATTTTAAGGCATTTCCGCATTGGCTTCACTTTTCAGACTTTGAGGTTGCTGCCAGGTAAAAATGCAATAATAGGTTTTTAATGATAATCTGTACTTTGCACGTCATTACCTTGCCTATCCACACTGTCTATTATGGTCGTATCAATATATGTCATGCATATAGTATCATTATATGTGATAGCCACATTTCACACCCACACAGCAAATACTACACTTTGTATTTTCTTGTGTTTATGAATGTAAAAACATCCATCTTTGCTGAATCATGTTGACAGACTTGCTGTTATTTAAAAACCTAATTTCATATTTGAAATATGTACAGAGATCCAGTGAGCATAAACAGACTTTTCATAATCTTTACATGTCCATGATTTAAATTGTGGTTTATCACAGCCCCATATTGTAGTATTTACATTAAATCAGGTATATATTCAAATACAGCAACAAGGCTATAGGATATAAATCTAAATGCTTGCATGTAAGGAGGACATACTTGTGCTGCTTTTCATGTAGCCTGATAATCAGACTGAATAGATCTTTTCTCACTACATCCGTTCACTGTTTGAACCACTACACAAATCTGAGATGTGGGCAGTAAATCAGATGTTTGCAGCCAGACTAATGTAAGATGTGGATAAAATTAGGACTTGACTTGTAAATTCATAGTGAAACTACAGATTATTGCCATAATAAATACACATCCACATACATAGATTTATTTGTCCTCACAAACGCCACTGTTTGTGCATTACAAACTAAGTATTTTCATAGCAACACTGTTTATGCAGAGCTTGAGTTGCAGTAGCATGTCGCCTCCACCAGAGGGCAGTGCAACCGTGTTAAATGTAACTGTTCAGTCGCTCAGTTGTTAGTTTATAATGACTCATGCTCTTCACTACAGTGCTGAGTTTAACTGTATTAAAACTCAAAATGTGTCTCTGTTCACAATAAAAAGAAGATTTTCTTTTCCTGGTCGTGACACTTAATGGCACATTTTATTGCCGAATCCTTTATTCATGATTACTTTCAGCCTGAAACGGAGCAGTACCAGATGCTGTGTTTAAGAATCACAAAGATAAGAAATGTACTCTAGTATCAGACAACGAGTGACCGGTGGAATTGGAGGTATGAATAAAACAGTCTGTGCTAAAATCAAAGAAAAAAGTAAAAACAGAAGTTCTTGGAAACTTTCAGGCGAACCTTACTTCAGTGAATTCGTTTTTCATTTTCAGCAGTCTCGGGATCAAGCCCCTTTTTTCCTATAACCAACTTCATCCAAAATCCCTTTGCTGTGAAACTTCAACCACATTGTTACTTTGCTCATCAAGAGTATGAATCCCTGACTAAACATTTCTCATCAACACATCCAGTGAACTGACTGCAGCATAAGATGGACAGGAGCTTCACTGGAATTACTAAGAGGCATCAATTACAAAAATACATAATTTCGTATAATTTACGTTGTAACATGTGGTTTTATATAATCACCGAGAGGCTGAGTGAATCATAATGGCCTGCGATTCACACATTTTTCTTGCTGCTGTAAATCTGCTCATTCGCACAAGCTCCACCCTTCGATCCCTGACAAGCCTCATTCCTGAGGAATAATTTGAGAGATCACTCTAAACCTTCCAGCACACCTTCCCTGGTGACCCAGATTTAGAAAAAAAGCACCTCTGGGGCCGTAGACTTGGATCAGAGGATGACCTTTGTTTGAGGCACGTTTCTCGATGAGCAAATCCAACAGAGATAAAACAAGAATAAGAGGTTTTGAGACTTACCAGTAGGAAGAATCACAGCAGGTATTTTCAGATCTGAAAATGAATACAAAAGCACTGCTGTGTGTCTTCACATACACACACCCTCAAAGAGGAAAGAATGTAGGTGTGAGATACTGTCTTTGAACGGTTGAAGCAGGCGTTTGTTTATTGACTTCTTTTTTACAGTTATCCAGGCCACTCCTTTGTGCCACATCCTGGAAGAAAGACTGGAGCGTGTAACAACGTACACACACACATTCAGAAGTCACCAAATAGACTTTGTTCCTGGTAACTGATAACACACACTCACACAAGTCTTTTCGCTGCCTCGGCCTCCATAAGGACTGACAGGACGAAAGAGGCCGCTGGTGCCTTCATGAATCTCGTCAGACGATCAGTTCCTCCTTCTGTGGTTCTGTGGTGTTTGTCTCTGATGGATAGAAAATAATCTTTTGGTTTTCCACCTCAATATAGAATGTTTTTTTTTTTCAAGAAGAAAATTACTGATCAACATGATTAGCACTTGTTTGTGTCATCTATGATGTATTATAAATTAACCATGTATGAATAATGTATCGGACCATTTATTAAAAAAAGAATCATCGACGTACGTGAAATGCCGTGAAAAGCTTCAGTAAAAGCTACTAAGTGGACCTTTGAGCTAAGATGGTTCCTCAGATGTTTAAATACATTATTTACATATCTCTATGCTATAGGAATTACATATGTTGTATGTACGGTTTACAGTCAGCAGATAAAACATCAATGATAAACGCATAGTAACAAAATTCTTACAAAAGCTTCTGGACTAATTATACAACAGCAAATTCTAACAATTATTACATGGCTGTAAAAAAAAACAGAGTCAAAGACAACATCAAGGACAGAACCTTGACATGTTCTATAGAAACAGGTTTTAAGTTTGTCCTGTTATGATGCATTATATACTGTTTTTTATATAAAATCAGAGAGCCAAACAAGTATGAAGTTTCAAAGAAAGATGGGAGAGGGCTATTATGTTCTGTAAAATGAGTTTTAAGGCAACATTTAAAAAGTTAGAATGATAAAATATATCTCCATCACATTTATATCAATGAAGTTCGACAAACATTAGGCTTCAAAATGACCATTAAATTGTATCAACATCTCTCTAAAACTGTTTCAACAAGTGTAACATTACAGGTTTTAACAGTTAATCGAATGACCTGAAGACTGTGCTCACAGTGGTGTACGTAGCTGTTTCCTTTTGTTCCACCAATATTATCATCAAAATCCATTGATATTTTAAATGCAAAGTCAATTTGTACCGTATGGAGTGAATAACAAGTGTCTGCAAAGGGATCAAATGGATGTGTGTGTGTGTGTGTGTGTGTGTGTGTTTGCAGTCGTACCATTCGGACGTGCACATTCCTCCCCGAGCATCCCAGTGAGCGTGAAGAGGGCGAACACCAGCAGAGAGAACATGATCGTCAACACCTCCAGCTCGGTAAACGGAGATGCCATCTACACCGGCTGCCGCAGCTGTGAACATATTCATCTGTAAAATCACCTGTTGTCCCTCAAAGGTCACATCCTCACATCAAAATGATGATTAAACACTTACCCAGAGTAGGTAACTGGAGCGTTTAGATGTTGACCATCACACAGCAGCCTCATGACACATGACACACTCTCTTCTTTCTTTGTCACACGCTTGCTAGAGCTGTGAAGAGCAGACCAACACTTCCCCTCTCAAGTTCAAGTGAGATCATATTAACCCTAATTATTGATGGGCCTCGTGCCTGTGCCTGTGTGTGTGTGTGTGTGTTTAATAGTAGAAGCTTCCCATGCAAAATGTATGAATGTATTGATTTTTAGGATTTGTGAATGCTGTCAGGTGGAGCATTTGCTTCAGGAAATGAGTGTTTTTAAAAGTGCTTGAGCCCACTTCAGAGTGTCTGAAACCCACGCTGTTTACAGGAAACCATGTGGTGTGGTAGCTTTGGGTGTTGCAAATAAATAGCATGCGATTTTTTTTAAACCAGAGAACACAATGCAAGTGTGTTTCCACTCCCCCATTACCAACACAATTGAACGGTATTGGGGCAACGTGTGTGCGTGTGTGTGTGTGTGCGTGTGTGTGTGCGTGTGTGTGTGTGTGTGCGTGTGTGTGTGTGTGTGTGAAAAGGGTATGGATGGGCATACACCTTGGAGCACTTCTGCCGTCACAAATCGACATCGCAACCACGCTGAGGTGAGACAGAAGGTCAGTTTATGTTCAGTTCAACAGATTTTTGGGCTTTTCATTTTCATTTTAAGGAGTCAAGTAAAAAGAATCTGAGACACAAACATGAAATAGAAATGATATGTAAAATACGTATAATAATGTAAATACTTTTGTGACGGTAGTAAAATAGATATACTGTATGTACACTGCGATGTGTGCAGGTATAAACAGGAAGTAGTATATTATACTGACAGAGATACAGTGTAAACAAGTACATTATGATAAAATGACAGCCATTCTTGTTTTAACCGCAACCTGTTTATGATACAATAAAATACAGTGTGACTCTATTGCCCACTGTAGAACAACACTGCAAATGTTACAATTTAACACAAGTTGTAGTCTTAAAAACACAGTCACAAGACAAGAATAACATCAGTTATCAACAATATAGTACAAATAATAACAGTAAAGGGTCGAAAGTGGACAGGTGGACACCTGTGGACAGGTGTTGTAAATTAGCGTTTCGCTACAAATACTAAACAGTGCATCTGGTCCTTGTGCATAAATGTATGTTACAATTCTAATGCCGAATATCAATATCCATATCAAATATATCGTCCAGTTATATCAATCATAAGCCCCATGACCTGAGACAGTTTGAAATAGGATTACACCCTCACCACAAACACCCACGCACACACACATTCTGTGAAGAGGCCGATATGGTTGTGTAGGTTTCTCACTTCGTGGCCGGTCAGACGATTAATGGGCCTTTACTTCTTCAACATGACAGAAATGAGGCGGCTTAATTTCTATTAAGGCATTGTTTCTCAGCGATGTGTGTGTGTGTGTGTGTGTGTGTTGCTGCTGCTGTCCATGTGCACAAATTGTGTAAGCTTATTAGCAGCAGCACTGGTCAGAGGAGGAGATTGAGGTTAGTCTAAACCCTAATCCTTATGGACCGTGTGCTTATTACCCAGCAAGCACGACACAATCCTGGCTCCGCCCCACCGAGAGAGACACCACACACACATAAATACATATATACACACTAACACACATCTATACTAACACACACACACACACACACACACACACGCACGCACGCGCGCGCGTCACGACAGCACACATTTTCCCTGTCTCCTTGTTTACTGCTCGGCTCCATCTCAACTCTTGTTCTCTCCGTCTCTCTCTCTCTCAGCAGGAGGGCCGAGGACGAGGAGGAGCACACTGTTGAGTAGTTACCCAGTTGTCATGACGACCTCACACCCCACCATCTCTAGAGCTGTCCTCCTGTTGCCACGGTGAACTGATCCTGTTCCAACTCCGCTCCTCTCGATGATCCGGATTGGGCTGATAAAGGAGAGCGAGTCGCTCCGTCCGCTTTCCCCGAAAAAACGCTCGTGGATGGGATAGCGGATCACACGCAGAGATCGGACAGGACAGCACGGCATGCTGGGAATGCTGCCGGAGTAACAGCGTTGCCTGGAAACAGCAGCATGCCAATACAACAGATAACTGTGGTTCCGGCCAAGGAGACAGCCAGCAACGGCAAGAGTGCTACTCGCTCCAAAGACAAGACTGAGGTGAGTTCCTGAGCTCTTTAATCTGCTATCGAGCCTCTGAGGTGCCTGGAAAAAAACCTGTAGATTGATTTATGTTGTCTTTTTTTTGCAGTTAAGGCTTAAAACTAAATGTAAAGTTGGTCAGATTACAGACATTTAAGATTGTAGCTTTGCGTTGTCAGAAGGTAGAAGTAATTTGATGGTCCTTGAGCATTGATCTTGATTGTGTAAGTGTGTCAGCCACCAGCTTCCAGGCAGTCAACTCAGTGACTCACATACATTACATGTATGATTTCAGAAGCCTTTTATCACTGTTCCCTCACTTGGGGTTTGAGGCTTTCAACTGCCTCCTCCACAGAGCCTGACATCATGTCACATCATGGAACATCATGGAACATCATAGGACATCACACAAGTAGTGTTTTTCTGGCAGCGGGGAGCATTTAAAGCAGATAGTTAGTTTGGGTTTATGCGGTCCCTCATCCGAACAAAAACAAGAATGAATTTTGCTGTTCTGTATTGGTCGTTCATTTATTAATAGCTTTAATACGAATCTACAGGTGGTCTTTTTGGGACTAACTGTGTCTTTAAAATAGTTCCACTTTCTCACATCTGGCACAATATTCTGGTGTCATTTGTTCAATGCACTACAGGGATCACAAGATCTGCCTCTAATAGTCTTAGTTGCGAGCTTTTTGAAAGACATTTGTCATTCGTCAGTGACTTAAATATAGGAAAAACTCCTCCAGCCATAGGGTTAGGGTTAGAGAACTGACATGGGCTGTATTAATTCAGATTTTTATGCATATTGTACATAAGTAAGCCCGAGGAGAGATTTACATATAACAGTCGATGAGTGGGTACACCTGTTCATATACAGTGAAGGCCACAGTAATATACAGAGAAGGCCACAGTAATATACAGAATCCATCATGTCCTTAAAGAGTCAAAATGTGATGGCAAATATTGGGTTGTTTGGTTACAACAACACAACCCTGGTAACGTATTTACGAACAAATATTTCATGTTTTAAAGAAAGACTTCGGATTTTTAAACCACCATTAGGTTCTGTGAAACATGTCATGACCAAATATGAACGGTGCAGCTGCAGCTCCATGGTTGGTTGTCTAAATGTGGCTGTAGGGTGTTTTTTTATCCTGAGCACAGAGCCAAAATATAGTCCTCGGTCCACGCTACATCACTTAATCCCCTCTGCAGAAACATGCACATGTCCACACTTAGACTCACCAAAGTCTCTTATGTGCATCAAAGTCACAGTGTCCAGAGGAGCAGACGCGGAGGTAAGCAACAGTGGGATGTTGTCTCTGATACAGCACTTATCTGAACTGTAGGTTGACGCTCCAGCAGGAAGGAGCGGTGTGTTTTGCTGCGATCTTGTGTCTAGTTAAGTCTTCTTGTAATGCTTTGTTGTGACTTAGACCGGCCTAGTGAAGCTTAATTGAAGATATTTTGGATGCCACATAACAGGTTATTTGCCTGTGGTGAGGAATAAAACCTTTACATGCATGAAAACATATAGTTGGGACCATAGACTGTATGCGTATTAAAGGAAGACTGTATAGCCCGATATTGGCTCTTACATTTGGAAATATTTCTGTTCTCTATCGGTGTTTATTTGATGTGAACCAAAGAGTTGGGAAATCAGAGTGTGATTATGAAACCGACGCATCCGCTGTACAGATGCCACACACACACACACACACACACACACACAGTAGTACCGTTTGAACAGACTTTATTGGCTTTGTCAGACAGGGAAAGTAATTAGACTGAATAGCAACACATGGATAGCAAGTTAAACGTGTTTAAAAGACACTGTTGCTAGCTTTCTTACTTCTTAAGAGTTAAATGATTAGAAGATTGATATCAGTTTAAAGCCTGTTTTCAGAAAATGAGTCCAGTTGTGTTTAGCTTAGCTTGACGCAAAGACTGGAAGCTGGGGGAAATGGCTAGCTTAGCAAACTTCTCATCCTACTGTAAAAAACAACAATCACCTCTGTATGACACTGGTCATGTTGTGCTCTGTTCATGTGCTGTGGAGACCCCACCTTTTCTAGACAGCTGCGGGCAAAACATTGGTAGTATTCGAAACTGCCCACTACAGCCTACTGAACGCAGTATGTAGTACACAGTACACACTGTTGGTCAGTAGTATGCCGTATGAAACTGGTGAATCAGTTTATTTTGCAGTATGCTAAGCCAGGTTGTAGCCTGTAATCAAGCTCTTCAAGTACAGGACAAGAATTATTGAAAAATACAACATTTTGAGCTTTGAATCTTTTTTAGTTTATGACCTATGTTTGTTTACTTTCAAAGAGACTGCATGGTTTAGACATGCATGGTTTAGCTCCCCCAACCTGTAACCGGTTGTATATGGACCCAAATGCAACACACAAGATTCCAGAGATCTTTGGCCTTTTATTACAAACTTCCAGAAACAGCAGGCAGAGTTGAACAGGGTCCGGATCAGAAGGCTGGTGGGTTTACCGGGAGTCAGGCAAGACGGGTAGAACAGGGTCGGTAACAGGAGATCAGTGTGTGAGAGCGTGCTGGAGAGTCTGGCATTGAAAACCGAAGAACAATCGGGCAAATGTGTGTCTGGGAGGCAGGAGTCTATATAGGGGCTTGATTACTGATCAGAGGCAGGTGAGTGAACAGGTGAAGGGAGTTTAGACTGATGAGGAGGGAGTGACTGACAAGTAGAGTGAGGAGGGTGTGGAGCTGAACTGTGACACAACCCTTAACCAATGTATTCTTTGACATACTGTAGATTCAGCTTTTGTTTACATACTGCACAAAACAAATATCAGTATGTACTGCTGTAGTAAGCGCTTTCAAATACAGCCATGGTTTGTCCTTCAGGAAAAAAAAAGCTACCAACTCCTCATTATTCTTATATATTCTTATAATAATGACCATGTATGTTTATTGTTTGTTTTTCAAGTTTCATTTTCTGACAGCTTTTTGACAGCCTACACTGAGGTTTACATGAGCACATGAATGCACCACATAGCTAAGACTATTAAAATGATGAAGTTGCACAAACCTGCAAATTCAGACTAATGAAAAATCTTCTGAACATTTCGGTACAGCTGAAGAGCACACATCCACAGCTGTGGACCTCGTAACTAAGGGAATTTTATTTTTATTTTTTTAACCACATTATGGAGTAGATATGTGAATTGGTGGCAGATAATCTGTTTCGTGACTCAAAATGAATATCTGATCTGTCCTGTTAAAATACCAAACCTTCCAAGCATGTGCCCTATGCCTAGTACATGTCTCCATGTAGTCTAACACCCAGAGGAGGCTGCAGTGTTTGCTTTGACTTTACCCAGGACTGCTGATTTAAACCTGGCTATCAGCAAATCCCTTGATCAGCTTAGAAGCTGCAGTCAGTGTCTCTCTTATTTATTTCAGTGATTTGCAGAGAAATTGTGTCTGTGTGTGGGTTGCTATATACAGTGTATATATATATATATATATATATATATATTATACAGTGTATATATATATATATATATAATATATAAGGGCAAGTGAGCAATTCTTATCATTGAGCCCTGCCCATAGGCCTTCTACATGTATATGATATATACCTACAAAAACTTAAAAAAAAGACCTTTAACATGTATTGCTTGTAAGTTCAAAATGTCAAAACTGTTAAGTATTTCAATGAATGTGAATGTACCAAATATTATAAAACACCTCAGCTGTTTACTCATATAAGATATATATTTATGACTGGGTTGTAAATAATCCAAACTCCAGCTGGCTGCGTGTTGAAGCTCCCGTTTCGAAGTTTCCACTGTGGGACTTGTTTTTTTTCTAAGAAATTTAAAATGATTAGGTCGAGCCGTGACAAGCCTGTTACACTAAATACACTTAAGGCCTGGCGATTATAATGTCGATTTGAGGGTTCAAAACTGACAACAGTTTTCACCACTATTGTGAGCAATGTTGATTGCCAGTGGTTGAAGCTGTTTTTTGGACAATGCTTTTTCACCGAAGTGCCTTAAATACAAGACAGAAATTGATGCTCCAGCTCTTTGTCTTTGGTCACGCTGGAAGCTGCAAAGGCACCAACTGCTCCAATGGGAGAATTGAAAAAGTATTGGGTGTGGAATTGGAGATGGATGCAGTGTCTATCAGCCTCCTAAGTACATTATGTAACATCAAAAAACAATAACAGATTGTACCGTATTCTTACTTACGCTGCAAGGAAGAACATTTTATTGCAGTGGATTAATGAACAAGTACCAACTGTTAAAGGCTGGCAGAGAGTGCTGGTTGATTTAGTGCTATTAGAATACCTTATATGGGAATCTTTCCTGATATAAAGCCTGGTGTCTCTGCCATCGTGCTGCAGCCAGTTTCTCGATTGTTCTTACTGCACAATATCATTGTAACCTCTGGTGTTGTGTGTTTGAATCTGAGCTAGTGTTCTGTGTTTGTGGTTTGTTTGTTTCTGTTGTTTCTGTTTTTGTACGTTTTTCTCTCCTGTGGATGCCATAATGTATCCATCTTCTACATTTTACAAAAAAAAACCTAATAAATGTAGTGCTCAACGATTATACTAAACAAATTCCTTCAGAAGATCAAAACAATGTATTAATCCTACATTTATTCATTTATTATCTGTATAGCCAAAGCCTTATATATCGTATTCCTCTGTGCCATAGACCTCCATTGCATCCAAAGTGAGGATGACATGTTCTCTCACTACAATGAACATCGACACTGGTTTATTTTCAGTCAATCCCAGCTGCACTTCCTGCTGCTGTAAATACACGTACGAATTCACAGCTGAAAAAAGTCCATATTTCTGTGAAAGTAATGTTTGCTGAAATATACAATATCCATGTTCAAGTAAATTACTTGGCCTTTAACTAAAAAAAATTAACTATATATTCAGTTAAATTTATTTGTATAGCCCAACATCACAAATCACAAATATCTATATATTTATATCTATATATCTGGACAAGTTTGTTGTTGATTTATGACAACTCTGTCTTTATTGAGAAAATACAGCTAATTTAAACAGTTCACATCTTGGACTTACATGGGAAGTTCCCTCTTTTTCTTTTACCATTAAACATACAAATAAACAAAGACAAACAAATACTAAAAATAAAGACCAAAAAAAAAGAAATAAGAATGTGCAAACAAACTGTAGTTGCTGGAATATTATGCACCTGTACATTTAAGAATATACATACACATATGCATGTATGAATTTACACACACACACACACATGCGTTCAGTTGTGATGGTTAAGGTTAATATTAATGTAAGGGGCTATGCATTATATCAATCAGTGTCCTCACAAAGACAGAAGTAGTCGTGTGTGTGCATGTTTGTTGGGGACTCATTTTGACACATAGCTAGATACAGAATCCAGCACCTTTACTTCACAGTAGACAGCTGAGGCTGCAGGTTTTTCTGAGACAAGACTTATTTAATCCCATAATGCACCTGGCAGCCACTTACATCACCAGTGCAGTTCGGGATAAAAGCCAACTGGATGTCGTGTTGGAGGAAAGGTTGATTGGATTTCTTGCTGTAATTGCTCCTTGAAGTCAGTATATTTGCTTGATAAATCTGGTAATTCCTGAATATAGCTTTCCCAACAAAGTAAGTGTTAAGTCAACATTGTCTGTTTAGTCACCTGCCAAGAGATTCTGATGTTTTAGGGCCAAAAAAGCTGAGTGGAAATGCTGCCCACGTCTCTCTTATCTTATGCAATAATAATGAATTCCTCAGTCAGTTTTCGAGAAAATGTTATATATCATGATTTAAATCAATAATACAACATTGCATATATTTTGATGAAGAGTCTGCCGGCTTGTAAACTGACCTGGTTTGAGAGTGTGTTGAAAAATAATAATAATAATAATAATAATGTTTTTTTTCATGGTGGTTTATCAGTAACACTACTGGGTAACTCCTACACAGAACCATCTATTGGTAACTGGAACTTGTATAAGATGCTGCAGAAGGTAAAGGAGGCCACAGATGTCTGAGGGTTGAGTTCAAGGTCTCACGGTTGAGTTCGGGCAATTGGTACTCTTAGTCCAAGTCCAAGGAAAAGTGCAATTAGTTTGCTTTAAATAGAGACACATTGCAGAGCGGCATCTTGTACAATTAGAAGAGGACGGCCAGGTAATAGGATTGACTGGCTTTAGCTCGGGTCACAATGAAATAACAAGCACACGTGACCACGCATGGTTCCTGATGCTGGATTTGAACCAATCAACACACAGCCGGTCAACACCATAACTCTAAATACTATAGAACATGTTGTTGTTAGAAGCTGCTTAGTTTAATTATTGTGTTTTTGTTTTGCAGAGTTAATGCATTAGCATGTCCAATTTATCTTTGCATCTCATCTTAAACTACCGTAACAACACAACTCAAGGAATGGTCCCACATTTCTCACATTTCACTTATTTTTGGGGCCCTTGGGGTGAATTTACAAATGAAAATCTAGTTTTAGATGTAAACAAAGTCATTGTGCAGTGTTTGGCGTTGACATACTGTATTTGACCAAGATGAAACTAACAGTAGATTGAGCGATTAGTTGATTGACAGAAAAATATCAGTAACAATGAACCATTGGAAACAATCTGGTTTCTGATCCTAAAGATTTTCCACTTTCTTTATTTTATAATATATTTAAAATAAAATTTCAAGACTCCATTTTTATAGACTAAACTAATAATAATTTCTTGATTATTAATCTGCAGAGTCTTAATAATATAATAACTTACTGCAGATCCCACTGAAATGTTTTGGTGAGATGAATGAGCCCCTAGATCCGATGTTCATGTGAGTGCAGTGAAATATTGTTTTAATGTTTTATATACAGAGAAATCACTGGTTTAAATACCTCAGGCTGCATTGCCATGTGCCATTAAAGCATCACATACTTCTCTGTGGTTTCTAATGATTTTCTGTCTCTCCTTCTTCCTGCAGCGGAGGAAGGCCCCCGGGCGCTCAGGGAGTCGATCCAGCAACATTTCCAAGGTAACCGCTGAATACCAGAGCTCTTAAAGGGCCAATATCAAGGTCGCAGCTGCCAGTGTTTTCATAGCATCTTTTACTCAAGCAGAATCTAACGCGCAAGAATGTGCTCATGTTAGAAGTACACACTGTTGTATGACTCATGAGACACTGAATAGTGCTTGCTATGACTTTGTGTAATGTGTTAGAGTTGCTTGTAGAATCAACACTTGTAGCTCAACAGGCTCACTTGAGCCTTTAAGCATTTCTAGCAATTTTCTTTCTATTTACAAACAGCAAATTAACATTTTTAACAGTCGTGGTACATTTCTCATGAGTTTTTGGAGGCCAGACCAGAGCTGAAAGGGTGAAATAATAGTGAAATGAGATTTGTCAGGTGGACGGAAAAATGAATGCCGGTGTTTCTCCGTGGCTTCTGGATGTGTACACGTTAATATATTAGCAATACGTTATAAGGCTGTAATACATCAGGGCGGTATGTCAGCTTATCTTGGGTTGTTAATCCCGCTAACAACCAAAAAAATCTAATAATTAAGCTCAAATATCATTCATGTTTACGATGTTTCGTCAATATAAATCTTTATTTTGATTATGTAGTCTTTAGTAATTGTGTAAAGACGTTGTGATGTTTCGATAAACTGTTGATGGTGACTTGCAAAGCAACATGGAAGAGTCGTGAATTTAGTCTGTTGGTTGTTTCAGGCCAGCAACTCTACAACAGGAATAACCACAGCCTCAAGAACATCGATCACCCCGTCTTCTCAGGACATATGCAGGTGAGACAGCTGTCTCTTTCAGTTTTACCCAGAATTACAGTCACCTCGGCTGAAGTACAAGACCGAGGTTTCTTAAATATCTGCTGACACCAACACAATTACACAATATCTCCAAAAGGAAAGAGCAGCCACAGTTCTCTCTGTGATATTTACATGCACAGTTTCTTCTCAACTGAGTGGGAGACTAATTTAGTATGGTCTGCTGCACCCAGAGGGCGTTAACAGAACTAAAATGGATGCTGAAATCCAATGATATTTCCCATAGGGCAATTAATGAGAGAAAGATGGCTGATTGCAGAAATGGGATCCTTCATATTATTATACTGGTGGTACGGTTGCAGCTGACAGGCTCAGTCCTGTGACTTGAAGGCTGAAAGGATGCTTGGTTTGAACACATGGGATGTATGTGAGTGCTTGGACCTCCATTTGTCAAATAGCATGCTCAGATCGTTCCATATTCATCATTTCCTATTCTGATTACCCAGCCTGATCATCAATCAATCAACTTTGTTATTTCCTTTCACTTCATTGTTCAGTTATGTCCAATTTCTTTTTCTCTATATTATTTCCCGTTAACAAGGAGGCTGGTGGGAGTTTCAAGGAACATCTAATTGAATGTTTTTCACATTCATCAGAAAAATATGCTGAATTTAGACTTATTGGTCCTCATGCAAGAACCACTCGTACAAACACATTCGTTCTCACAATTTAGGAGAACTTGCATTATGTGAAATGAGTCTGCTGTTATCCAGGCCAGGTTTTTCACTAACGGATTGTATATTTCATTAGTGAGTGTTTGGCAGTGGGTGTTTGTGAGCCTGATAGGTTCACCTTTAACTTTATCGGCCAAAGAGAGAAAACTCTCTCAGTCAAGGATGCAAAAGAAACCCCCAAAAAACAAAATCAATCCATGAAAATAGTGCAAAGGCTACATATAATAACCTGTGTGTGGACTGTATGTTTATTTACTGTATTTATTTACATTTGTTGAGTTAATGTCATCACATTCATATCTTTTCCATCTCGTTTCATCTTATCATCTCTCTTTATTTGTTTGTGTGTGTGTGTGTGTGTGTGTGTGTGTGTGTGTGTGTCTGTTCAGTTCGAGCCAGCTGACCCCTTTAGAGGAGGAGGTTTCTGAATCACACGAAAACATCAAGCACACAATCACCTCTGAGATGACCGTCACCAGCGCAGCTCTGGGCCTGTCAGCTCAGGCGCAGAAGAAGCAGGTGAAGCGCCACCACCGCCGCAAGAGGAACAGCTGCACCGCCAGCGACTGCGTGGAAACCAGCGGCAGACAGGAGCAGAGCGACCGCAGCCTCAGCTCGGACCGCAGCGAGCTCGGGGAGAAGAGGGAGCGGTCCGCCAAGAACCGGAGAGAGCTCCCACCGCACCTCCGCTGCTCGGGGGCCCCGCACTCAGACTCAACCTCTGACGATGAGGCGTTGCGCGAGGCCCGCAGCTGGAGCAAAGAGAAAGCCCGAAGAGTCTGCCACCGCAGCGGCACCAGCCGAGAAAGGGATGGAGCGAATGGGAGTAAAGGAGGGGAAGACAAGGTCATGGAGCTGCAGTCGGTGGGCTCAGATGAAGGGAAGGAGAACCATCCTCTGGTGGAGGACAGCGGAGGCCTCAAGAAGCGCCACAGCAGCACGGCCTCGCTTAAGAGGGACGGCCACGGTTCACAGCAGGAAGGCTCACTCAGCAGAGACAAGGAGAAGTGTCACAAGTCAGGAGACAGCTCCTCATTGGCAGAGGACGGCGAGGAGCTCATCACCAAGAACTACCAGGAAAAGGGGTCAGGGGGTGGGGACATGTCAGTGCCCATACCACAGACACACTGTGGTATGAATGGAGGCACAGTAAGGCAGTACTCTGATGACTCTGATATGGAGGTCTGCAGGTCAGTGGGTGTTTGTGAGCCTTATATGTGTGTGTGTGTGTGCATGATAGGTTCACCTTTAACTTTATCGGCCAAAAAGGGAAACTCTCTTAATCAAGGATGCAAAAGAAACTCCAAAAAAAATAATTCCATAAAAATAGTACAAAGGCTACATATCATAACCTGGTCTCATGTGTGTGTATTGTATGTTTATTTTGTGTGTGTGTGTAGGATCTGCCACTGTGAGGGGGACGACGAGTGCCCGTTGATAATGCCATGTCGCTGCACTGGGAGCCTGATTTTTGTCCACCAGACCTGTCTCAACCAGTGGATCAAATCCTCAGACACTCGCTGCTGCGAACTCTGCAAGTTTGACTTTGTCATGGAGACGAGGCTCAAACCTTTATGCAAGGTAGGCCCTCGCTCATGAATCTAATTCACAGCTATGAACAAGCTGTAATAATGAACACCATTTTTCTCTTCCACCAATGTTTCCCCTCACCCCCCCCTCCATCTCTCCATCTCTCCATCTTCCAGTGGGAGAGGCTAAACATGACGAAGGGCGAGAGGAGGAAGATCTTCTGTTCGGTGTTGTTTCACCTGTTGGCAGTGGTGTGTATGTTGTGGTCAGTCTACATTCTGGTCAAGAGAACCGCGGAAGAGATCAGAATTGGGAAGAGCGGTGAGTACCTTCCCCTATTCTCTCTCTCTCTCTTTCTCACATACCAGAGACACACAGAGTAAACGTGTTCTGATCTATGGCAAACTAAAGGTACCGTGGATAGTTTTTAAATTATAAAACAACATTTCTCACCTAAAGGTATTGTGAGTGAGGCCTAACAAACATTTCCTACCTCAGTAAACGTTTGAAAACCTTACTTTAAAAAAAATAAAATAAAAAAAGAGTTTAATTCATAAGCTGTATGCCTCACTGTGTGGAAGAGACTGGGACCATTCTTTTATGGTTGGGCTCAGACTGCTTTCCTAACTTTGTAAAAACTAAATATAACAAATAGATAGATATAAATGTATTCAATTGTTATTTAATAAAATAATGGTATCTGATATCAGATCAGCTGTGCAATTTTTCCATTATATAAAAATGTCTATATGTTACAGCCCTCCACAGAAGTTTGAATCACATCCTGTCACCTAATACAAACAGTACTGTACCATTTAGGCTCTGCACTGTAGCGCCCCTTGTGGTCAAAAGCTCCACTGGGCACATGTTGATCTTTACACCTGTCTGTCTCTGGTGTAGTGATTTTTGATGATACATTTCCTGTGTAGTCACCCACAGTTTTCATGTTTTCTCCAAACTAGTGAAAAGTATGTGTATATTGTTTAGTATAAACCTTCCGGTTTCTAAATGTGCTGTGATGGTCACCCATCCCCTCGTGTCCCTCTGCACATTAGAGGTCGAGCTCTGGTGATGACGTTGGTTTTTAGACATCTTCAATGTTCTTAAATAAAATTGATTTGATCTCAAAATCACCAATAGCTTGTGTTTAAATATGGTAAAAAAAAAAGTGCAGCAACTTTCCAATAAAGCTACTGCAGCATCAATGTCTTTAAAAAGACAAGTTCAATTCATTTGTAGATTCTACTTTCTTGTAAGACTTGAAATTTGACATCGACAATCCATTAATGTAAACACTAGCTATCAATACTTGAGAGAAAAGCATTTAATTCAAGAGCAAGATCTACAGTATGTTCGAAAATAGAACTCAGAAAACAACGAATGTCTTGAAAAGGGTCATGTCAAGTTTCAGATGTTAGATTTCATCACAAGAACCAGAATTCACCAGTTTTTCACAGCAATTTTATTTGAGATTGTAAATCAACCCCTCAGTACTTTTGTCTGTTCATTGTTGCGGTTGTTGATGGTGTGTTGTGCTGTAATCCCAGCGTATCTGTATTATTCTCTTATCGTAGGACCTCAGATATATTATTGTATCGAATAAATAATAGCAGAACACATTTTTTGTTCATTTGGGGATGCACCGATCCGACTTTTCAGTCACGATACCTGAGCTTTGTGTATTGTCCGATACCGAGTACCGATCTGATATCAGTGTCTAATTAATAAGCTGTATGCCTCACTGTGTGGAAGAGACTGGGACCATTCTGTTATGTGTGAGGCAACATCTGGCCTGAATTAAACATTAAGTTTATAAAGAAAAATGTAACAATTACATAGATATACATTTACTGAGTTGGTATCTATCATTAACATAATAAACGGACACCAACAACTTGGTAAAACCCCTTTAAAATGAACAGGAATTAATTCAAGTGTAAACCTTTTTAATGCAGCAATGAATTGTACAAAACTTGCACGGAAGAAATTCCAGTACATAATGCATATAGTGTACAAATACAGAATTGAATTGACTAGATCAATTGTCACTGCTATCCGATCGAGCTATTCGAGTCAGTATCGACCTCGTATCCAACATCGGTATCGGTGCATCCCGAGTTTATTCAAAGGTCATAGAATTAAAGAGAAATTACACTCACTCTTGATTGCAGACGAATTATGGAGAGGTACTCTTCTGAAATACTATACACCAAATGGTAAGCACAGCTCTGCACATACCACCATCATGATCCATGACGCGTCCTGCAGGATGACTTACAATGTGTGCGTGTCCTCAGGTGTGCTCGAGTGGCCCTTCTGGACCAAGCTGATTGTGGTGGCCATAGGCTTCACGGGCGGCCTCATCTTCATGTACATCCAGTGTAAAATCTACCTGCAGCTGTGGCGCCGCCTCAAGGCCTTCAACCGCATCATCACTGTGCAGAACTGCCCCGAGAAAGAGCTGCACAACCCTCAGGCCCGAACCAGCACCCTGACCAACGGCAGGCACGAAACTGTGGAGGTTCCAGTCGGTCCGGCTCCCATCCCGGCTCCAGAGGCACAGATGGACTCGGACATGTCGCTGGAGGCTGCGGTGGCGCCGGCTCAAAACCCCGTCTGAGCGATTCTCCTCCCACTCAGAAAGAATCGTGAATCACACCCTGCTCATACAACAACACAGGCTGGTGTGAGCAGCGTGTCGTTTAGACTCGTACAATATTTTAGCGTTGTTCATCCCAGCACCTGTGATTACTGATCTTGAGACACAAGAGATGGATTTTATGTCCTTCAGTGATCACGGAAAACTAAAAGAAGAAGAGCTGCAGTGACGTGAATGTGCAAAGTAACTAAGAATGTGGCAGGCCGGAGAAAAGAGGAGTCAAATAAATCCGTCAGCAAGAGAAGTTTGTAAAGACTGTAGTTATGTAATATATTGAGTTTTATTCCTATATGCACTTTCTCAAACTGCACTGACATGAGTTAAAGTTGTGAACACCCTGAAGATGCTTTTCAAGGTCTCAGTATGCTTCAAACTTGGGATGTTAACAATTAACTGTTTATCTAATGCCATCAGTTAAACAGTTCAAATACATTTCGAAAAAAAGGCCTGAGTAACTCAAGAGGAGCTGCTTGTCACTTAAAGGCTGTTCACACGCCAGGCTAATGACGCGTTAAGATATCGTGCTAAAACGTACACGTGGTTCTATTTTTACTACATTTGGTGTCTGATAGCTAAAGATTGTTGGACATACCCGGGTATTTTACTTCCTGTCGGACAGTAAAATTAGCACGATTGCCGGGGAAGGTTTTTTAGAGTTTGGCAGTCCCTCCCCTTCCGCACCGTAGCAAAGATTGCAACTACATTTTGCTATATTCGTCAGTGTGAAGGCACTTATGCACTAAAAATAGCAGGCGTGAGTACAGAAGAACGCGAGTTGAGAACACAGCACTGTTGTCATACACGTGGCAGTCATTACAAAGGAAATAACCGCGCAGTTTGGGACGCTCTCCGTCAGCAGACATTTATTTTCACAACTGTGCACACGTGGCCCACCATTCTGTAAAGTGGGCAAACACGTGGAAGACGGTTTCAGACGCTGTTTGGACAAACGAGCGCTTTGTTTGAAGCATACCGAGGCCTGAACTATCAGGTCTTCAGACACCAAAGAGTAAACACATAAGTAGAGAAACCTTTATTTAGCTCAGTCTGAAAAATGTAATGTTTGAAAAAGATGAATTTATTTATTATCGTAGGAGAGTTGACTATTTCTTAAAATAGCAAATCTAAAGTATCCCAGTTATTTATGACATTGTTTTGACAGTTTGCAGCTTCATGAGGTTGTGTTATTTACACATTAATGTAACTTCATTCATGGTTGCCTTCCATAAATGGCTTTACATCAGACTTGACACACTGTGTGCGTGACTGACCAGTCTGTCTAAAAAAGGCGACTGTTGTGTACACTTATTTACTTTTCTACAGGTTTAATTTGGTGTTTTATCAGTGTCGCTGTCACGTCACAGAAAATCTCTCGTGTCTTTTAGCCCCCACGACATTGGAGCACTCAACAGCTTTGTCAAAACCTTTTTTTTTTTCTATCTCCGATTGGATAAAATGGAGTGTTTAGGTTACATACAATTCATATTTGTTTGTGCAATAAACAATGAATGTAGAACCCTTCACAGGCTGGTGTGAAGTTACTGAGCAACAAGAAGAATTTAAAAAGATGATACAACTTTAGTTTGACATCTTTGAGAGTTCAGCACCATCTTCTGGACAAGCATGGAGCAGCAGCACAAAAACACACTTTATAGAAAAAGTATTTTCTGAGGTCCGTCTGATGTTCAGCTCCATGGTCAGTTGGGCTGAATGAACAAATGGAGCTTTGAGCTACAGTCCAACAGGAAGAGGCTCAGTTTAAGTCCGACATCAACTCCAGCTGCTCATCATCCAAATCATCTTCATCGTCCTCATTATCATCTTCTGCGTCATCACGTTTATCCTCTTCTTCATTCTTCGTTTCCAAATCTTTGTTCGACACCTTCCGCAGTTTCAAATTTGGAAGTTTCTTCAGATCGCCAGTCCACTCCCTGCCGAAATAACGGATGAACAAATGACAAACGTTACCAGAAAGGACGTTTATGAATCATCACGTCATGTGCAAATCATATACTTAATATCCCAATTTTATTTGAAATCATTTAATAAATAGTTTTGACGTGTTGATATATATATATTTTTTTTTTTTATTCCATGTAGTTGTTGGAATAAATTGGAATACTCGTTTAATGTCATCATTTGCGTGATTATGTTTGTCAAATCATTGAAGCTGAATAATTACGGCTACTTTTCAAACACAAAAATGGTAATATAAAAACACACACATACACACACACACCATTTCTACCCACTTACCTGAATGTTTTCAGATTCTTTGCATTAATGATGTCTGGAATCTCTACGAAGAGGACAAAACACAGGATCATGCAGTTTCCCCCCCATCACACTGAATGGTCTCACGTACAACACATATGCGTATTCGTATCCGCGACGAGGACTCACCACACCCGACGCCCTCATATAGCGCTCGCTCTCGCTCGACGGTCTGTTTGATGACAGCCTCTCTGGCCCCATGGAGGCGACCCTGCCGGCCTTTGATGCCGTTCATCAGCTCTATCTGCTCAAGCTCCGAATCAAACCTTTGGAGGTGTCTACACACACACACACACACACACACACACACACACACACACACACACA